GATCACTCTTCATAACATTCTGGAGTATATGCAAATTGTAATCATAAAAACAGAGGCAGCAGACTTTGTGAAAATTAGTATTAGTGTTATTCTCAAAACTTTTTACCATGACTGTACAATGTACATGGTCTCACTCACTTGGCAGATGATTTTGCATTTCACAACTGCTCACTCAATGACCTTAATTGCTTTGAGTTTGAGAACCATTTGCAGTGACTTAAATGTGCCATCAAAAGCCCACTGAGGCGACTGTCTGAATCAAGCCAAGTGAAACATACTGCCAAGAACATCCAACCATACATCAAGAATAACATGCGAGATGGTTGCTTCCTCCTCCAGGACAAATACTGTAGATTTGTCAAAGAAATAAGAAACGATGGAAACCTTGTTTGTGATGTCATTCACCATACTCAAACGGACAACTTCTTTCTTCCATGTGCCTCCAAAGACTTCAACATCGCAAGTATCTAAAACATCTACAAATGCAAAATATATATTATTTATCCCGAGGACCTCATCAGCAAGGTAATACATGTTGATTCCTCTGTTGCACAGTTTTGCCAAGTAAGATCAGATATATTGGAATAGTTTGGTTTGCAATTATGGCTTATATTATATTGTCTAATAATGTCTATTTCCCCAGGTTCTAATCTCAGAGGATGTGGGCCAGAGCAGTGTGGATGGAAAATGAGAAGGAAGTAGAAGGTGTTATTCCAGAGCACTGGATCAAATACCAAACTCTGTGATGGCCCCCAAATTAATATGAAAAAGCAATAAAGGATTGGTCCTCACCCTCTCTGAAATTGAAGTCATTTCAGCTTCTGAGGATAAAACTGACATCATGTAAATAGCAGATACATTATACCTGAAAATGCAATAAGAAACTGCTGGTTGTTAAAAATGACTGTTAAATTCTTCGAACCCTCACCCAACCATTCAGAATCAAAACAGCAATGTGAAGACGTTAATTACCGAAGTCAGTGAAGCGGAGGACATCTCCAAGAGAAACTGAAAGAGAATTACATTCAAATAATGTATAACTGGTATGTTTAAACACACATTGACAGTTTGTGTACATTCAATTTACTTGGCATGTTTTTATTCTGTATATTGTTGTGTGTTTAGAATTGCATGAGGAATGTAATCTCCCACCTCCAGCCACTACAGCCTCCAAGTCATTTAAGTATGGTAGTCTGTAATGCTGATTACTAATCGACGCCTTTGTTCCTAAACCCTAGCCACCGAACAACCACCTTGCCTTTTGATAGACTGGGAGGACCTTTAACCGTATTACTTTAACTGATCCATTCAAATTGACAAGAGTGTGGCTAGCGTTTGGGTTTAACGTTTGGTCATGTGTTTAGGGAAAGTTTTTAAGTCTTCTTCCACTTCAATAAAACGTAAACAAATGACAAATGTGTGTAGAAAAAGTCGGGATGTTATTTTACATTTTCATGTTTATTTTCAGGCAAAGGTCTACACAAGCCTCCACCAAAATATGCCCAGAAGCACCAGAAAACCTGTGCAACTGCTACCAAGAAGCAAAAGCCTAAAATGCAGCACCCTTCATAACGTAACTCAACTCCTTATTCTTGATCGTTGTATTGAATGACATATTGTGACAGTATGAAAATGTATGCACTCACTAACTGTAAGTCGCTCTGGATAAGAGAGTCTGCTAAATGACTAAAATGTAAATGTAATATTGCCATGTAGTACTGGATGGAAAAGTCCTGTACATGTGTAATGCATTAGTGTCCTTTTGTAAAATGACAGATACCTGTCACGATCGTCGTTAGATGAAGCGGACCAAGGCGCAGCGTGATATGCGTACATTCTTTATTTCTAGTACACACACGAACAAAACAAACGATACGTGTCCTGGGTTGAACACAAACCTTCCGTAACAAGATCCCACAATAAACAGTGCCAAACAGGCTGCCTAAGTATGGTCCCCAATCAGAGACAACAAGCTACAGCTGCCTCTGATTGGGAACCACCCTGGCCAACATAGAAATACTCGAACTAGAACAAAACATAGAAAATAACACATAGAAAATCCACACCCTCGCTCAACATATAAGAGTCCCCAGAGCCAGGGCGTGACAGATACCTCAGATCTAAAAGCTGAGGGGGAAGACATCCCATACCGGGTGAAGAGAGCAAATGTGATGAGTGTGATGGAAGGAGTCAGGCGCAGGAGGGTAATCACCGAACACAGAGTTTATTCCTTCGTGGATACACAAATGCGCTCAACGACACAGGCACAGGGGAAACTATCATCCCTGGCAAATACACAGTAACGGTAGAATCCAATAATACATAGACACAGGGGAAAATCTACCCTGGCAACAAAATGTATGAGTAGCTCCCCCGAGCTACACTACTCAAACAAATAACAATCACCCACAAGGACAAGGGGGCAGAGGGAACACTTATACACGGACTAATGAGGGGATTAGAACCAGGTGTGTGTGATTGACAAGACAAGACAAAGGTGATGATGATTGGGGCGGCAGTGGTTAGTAAGCTGGTGACGACGAACGCCGAAGCCTGCCCGAACAAGGAGGGGAGGCAGCCTCGGCTGAAGTCGTGACAGCAATGCACGGTTAAACTATTACCATATTTGTTTCGCTTTTAAATTAGGTAATGGTGTGTAAAGTATATATTTTGTGTTCTATACAGAACCCTGACAAATGGCCTCATGTCAACGATGAATATGAAAGGAAACCAAGGGAAGAGGGCTTTTGAGGACTCCAACCTTTGCAACATTATATGTACAGTGGAGTCCAAATCATGACATTTTACATGACATTTGAATACCTTCTCTAGCTAATATTAGCTTTTCCCCTTTACAGCAGGTGTGAGTCTTGGAGAATCAAAGGCTACGGGGACAGAAATACTACAGGCGATGTAAACCTGCCCTTTCTGACAGTGCCTTTTTTTGGTTTATTGTATATCTCATGTGTTTCCTGAAGCCAGAAAAGCATTTTCTGCCTTTACTATGTATGTTTTGGGCTTGTACATCTATTTTTGTGGTGCAATTCATTTTCATTTAAACCATTCTTGACTTTGACTTTTTTTGCTGAACTGTTTTTACAAAGGTTTATACAATGCTGTTCCAAGTTATTGCTCTAATTGTGTTACACAGAATGACAATAGACAACAGTAGTATAGACCCTAAGTCTGGAAGATACATTTTGCGCCATGAGTAGAATTGTATTATACATATCAGGGTGCTTTTCAAGTGTGCACCAACAAAGTCCTGGTTGATACAGTTTGTTTTCATATTCCTATCCTCATTTAATGTAAAGAAGCCTACATCACAAAATGGCAACTACTTCTAAACATCTAATCAACACACTTCATGATTGGTGATAATCCCTGTTGATTTCATGGTGTGTTTTTGGTCAAATCAGATCAGATCAGTGTGTTCTCAACCTCACTCCAATATTTAAATGTAGTTGATTATTAGTCGAGTATAGTTTCCAAACTCGATAGTATCGAAATAAAACATGAACTGTTGTCTGTCTTTTTGAGCAGGTGAATAAAGGTTTAAATCTCATTGATCAACGTCTCAACCAAATATTACCCACATTTCCATGTTGAAATGACGTTGTGTGGGCTGTGCTCACTCAAGATAACTATAGTTGGACAATAGGGAGGTGGCAGTCTATTGAACTTGTCTATTGTGTCTCTGCACTTAGGAGCCGAGCAACGTTAAAATAAAGACTCTTATACAGTTGTTCGCTTAATTTAGAGAACAAGTTGCAATTTAGAAGGTGCTCTAAGCAGTAGCATTTGATATTGCTCTCAGTTATCTGTTAACTAAAATGAGATACATTTGATCTCATTCTATCCTCCTACCAAAGCTGTGTTTGGGTGTGAGAAAGAGAGATCATGTTGCCATGGAAATGTCTCCCGTCCAGAAGGTTAATGATGAGTCTCGGCCATGGCTCAATCTGTTGGGTTGCCAGGCAACACCAATGGCGTCCCTTGTTGAAAAGCCTTTATTTTTGCAGGGCTGCATGTGCGTCACAACGTCTCAGCCAAGCTTTGTAGAGGGCTAGATGATTGGTTATCTGCCTGCATTCTGAAGAGTCTGCTGAAAAAGTAACTGTATTGTCACATTTAACTTTTTAAGAATGCTCACAAAAACCTTTTAGAGAGGGCACTTTTGCTCATAAAAAAGTCCTTTGTCTTGGCTGACTTCTTCGCCCAAACTCTTTAAAGTTCAAAAGATAAGCCAGGGCCACCATAGTTCACACAACACTGACAACCCAAATCCTTGGTGCTCTGACTTAGGACTGGGAGTAGGGAGCCCAGGGACTGGGGAGGCCCTTGCAGCAGTAACCTGCCTGAGTAGTTTTAACTGTCTCAGTTTCTATTGAGTGAGGAGGGGGTTTATAGCATGTAAATGGTTTTCACTGGCCTCCTCTGTCCACTGCTCCTCTGCCTGTTGCTGAGAGACGAGCTAGAAGTAACCAGACGCTCTGATAGAGAGGATAACACAGGCCTTTAAAACAATTTGTCCTCTCCCTCCTCTTTCCAATGCTCATAAGTCACAGCCATGGGGAAGGCAATGGGAGACAGGGAGAGAAGGAGGGGTGTAGAGATAGGGAAAAGGGCAAAGGGAATTAAACAATTGTGTTAAGTGGGGGGAGAGAGAGAGAGAGAGAGAGAGAAAAAGTGAGAGAATGAGGGACAAACCCCACTACACAACATTAAACTAGTGGAAAGGAGGGCAGAAGTGGACGATGACAAAAGGGTCAGATAGAGAAAACAAGTGACAGGATGAGAGGAGGAGGGCCATGTAGCCTATAGTAGAGGGAGCTACAGAGGTAGAGGAACATATAGAGGGATAGAGACATACTATACTTGGGGGCCAGGCCGTGAAATGAAACCCTTTGGAGCTGTGGTCAGTTCCAGCGTTCTGCTAGCCTAGCCTCCATTCCTCTCCATTCTTCTGGGTGTGTGACTCGCTACGGGAGATGACAGAGATGACAGCTACTGAAAAACTAGCGCTGATCTGGAGCCTGTGGACGGCAGTGAGCTTCGCAGCTGGACTTGGTGAGGAACTTAATTTGATATCCCCCTACACTACAGCGGGGTGAGCCATAGACATCTTTATGTATTTCTATGGGGTAAGCTTCACTTGCTTTTTGACTTCTCTTCTAATCGGATGTTTGATGCTGAAAGTTAATCTGGTTTGATATGGATTAGACATGGATGTGTTTTTTCCCCCCAATACTAAACAAAAAGGGATGTAGGCTATCATATAAAACAATAATCTGCTCGTGAGATAACAGGTGTACTGGACTAACAAATACGTCTTCCAAATTGTGCAGAATTTACAAATTAGCAACGGTATGATTAATCATGTTCACATTAATTTATTTGGTCATCAAGTGGCAATGGTCAATGTTGTTCCTTCAGATGAGCACCCTTGCCCCAAAGGAGCCCAGGTCCATCTGGCCAGTCTGCAATGCTATTGGCTGTCAGAGTCAGCGACATCATGGCTGGAGGCGAAGGGTATTTGTCGTCAGGTGAAGGGTGGGGATCTAGCCGCAGTCCAAAGCACTGAAACTCAGACATTCATCCACAACTCCTTCCCATCGTGAGTAAACAGTTTATGATCTTTCTAACGGATTTATACAGTATATTCTGTCACCTGACTACACTGTAATTCACTTAATTCCCCACCACCCCCTCTTAAATGTTTTTGTATATGTATCTTTCTGTATAGAAAATCCACTGAGTGGGTCTGGCTGAGGGATGGCAGGGGAGAAGGGCCGGATAGAGGCGAGAGTTTGGGAACGGAAAGCCATCCTGGGTGGGACAGGGGCAGGGAGAGTATGGGGGGCTGTACCCAGATGGCCCTGGGTTCACCAGGACAGAGGAGGAACACAGTGTGTGACGGACAGTACCTCTGCCTCTGTGAGAAGGTGGTTACAGGTGAGACTGCATGGAGAGTTTACTGCATTAATACGACATTGCAAACTATAATTCAGAATTAAATGTGTTTGTTGTCTTCATAGGGAGACCTAAGGGGTGTAACATTGTCACAAATTAACACATTTGTGAGCATGCTGTATATTGCAGTGTGCTAATGGATGTGTGTATGTTTCCGCTGTCTCCTGTAGTTTCCCTGCCTTCGTTAGACAGCTACCTGACAGGTGTTCCTCTCATGTCGGCCGTGTATGCCAGGTCACAGCTACAAGTCCTCCCTACAGTCCCAGACCCTGACCAAAAGAGAGTGGAGGTGAGTGGCATCATATGTCACACTGAGGGAACCGATTATGATACTCTTTTTGTTGTGGATTGACCTACTGTACGGCATTCATATTAGGATGTTGTCAGATTTCAGGCAAAACTCTTGATATGGATGTCGTATTCATCGCATCACCTTGTGCCGGCTTTAACCACAGCCATGCTAAAATCCCCCTCTTATGTCTGATTACTTTATTATCCTCCCCTCAGATGCTGCTGTTTCCTGGGCTGTGGTTCAGCCATGCTGGCCAGGTGGTATCAGTGGAGCTGGTCAGCCAGCCAAGAGAAGTGTCCACCTTGGTCAGAGTTCAGATCCTCCGGCCCTACTGCAGCCCCCACCATCACCTGGTGCCCCCAGGTAACAAAACGTCACCTTACAGAGGAGGAACTTTTTGAGGCAATTAAATATTTTCAGTCTGGAAAAACACCAGGGCTTGATGGTATACCAGTAGAGGTATATCAGACCTTTCTTGATGTACTCAAATATCCATTATTAGCATGTTTTAATTACTCCTATAAAAATAGTAGACTTTCAGGTACTCAACAAGAAGGTCTGATTTCATTACTACTGAAACAGGACCCAGGTTGTCAGTATAAAGATCGAGTCCATTTAAAAACTGGAGGCCTCTTACACTTCAATGTTGTGATGCGAAAATCCTGGTGAAATGCATAGCACATGGGACAAAAAAGGTTTTACCACATATTGTTCATCCTGATCAGACAGGTTTTTTACATGGACGATATATTGGAGATAATATACGACAATTACTTGAAACAATTGAACATTATGAAACATCAAAGATACCAGGCCTGGTTTCATAGCAGATTTTGAAAAGGCTTTTGATCAAGTATAACTAGAATTTATATATACAGTGCCTTCGGAAAGTATTCAGACCCCTTGACTTTTTCCACATTTAGTTACGTTACAGCCTTAATCTAAAATGGATTAAATAAATACAAATCCTCAGCAATCTACACACAATACCCCATAATGACAAAGCGAAAACAGGTTTTTAGAAATGTTTGCAAATGTACTACAAATAAAAAACAGAAATACCTTATTTACATAAGAATTCAGACTCTTTGCTATGAGACTTGAAATTGAGCTCAGGTGCATCCTGTTTCCATTGATCATCCTTGAGATCAACTTGATTGGAGTCCACCTGTGGTAAATTCAATAGATTGGACACAATTTGGAAAGGCACACACCTGTCTATATAAGGTCCCACAGTTGACAGTGCATGTCAGAGCAAAAACCAAGCCATGAAGGAATTGTCCGTAGAGCTCCGAGACAGGATTGTGTCGAGGCACAGATCTGGGGAAGGGTATCAAAATATGTCTGCAGCATTGAAGGTCCCCAAGAACACAGTGGCCTCCATCATTCTTAAATGGTAGAAGTTTGGAACCACCAAGACTCTTCCTAGAGCTGGCCGCCCGGCCAAACTGAGCAATCTGGGAGAAGGGCCTTGGTCAGGGAGGTGACCAAGAACCCGATGGTCACTCTGACAGAGCTCTAGAATTCCTCTGTGGAGTTGGGAGAATCTTCCAGAAGGACACCCATCTCTGCAGCACTCCACCAATCAGGCCTTTATGGTAGAGTGGCCAGACAGAAGCCACTCCTCAGTAAAAGGCACATGACAGCCTGCTTGGAGTTTGCCAAAAGGCACCTAAAGGACTCTCAGACCATGACAAACAAGATTCTCTGGTCTGATGAAACCAAGATTGAACTCTTTGGCCTGAATGCCAAGCGTCACGTCTGGAGTAAACCTGGCACCATCCCTATGGTGAAGCATGGTGAAGCATGGTGGTGGCAGCATCATGCTGTGGGGATGTTTTTCAGTGGCAGGGACTGGGAGACTAGTCAGGATCGAGGGAAAGATGAACGGAGCAAAGTACAGAGAGATCCTTGATGAAAACCTGCTCCAGAGCGCTCAGGACCTCAGACTGGGGTGAAGGTTCACCTTCCAACGGGACCACGACCCTAAGCACACAGCCAAGACAACGCAGGAGTGGCTTTGGGACAAGTCTCTGAATGTCCTTGAGTGGCCCAGCCAGAGCCCGGACTGGAACCCGATCTAACATCTTTGGAGAGACCTGAAAATAGCTGTGCAGCAATGCTCCCCATCCAACCTGACAGAGCTTGAGAGGATCTGCAGAGAAGAATGGGAAAAACTGCCCAAATACAGGTGTGCCAAACTTGTAGTGTCATACCCAAGAAGACTCAAAGCTGTGATCGCTGCCAGTACTGAGTAAAGGGTCTGAATACTTATGTAAATTTGATATTTCATTTTTTTCAAAAAAAAATTAATTAGCAAGGATTTCTAAAAACCTGTTTTTGCTTTGTCATTATGGGGTATTGTGTGTAGATTGATGAGGGAAAAAAACAATTTAATCAATTTTAGAATAAGGCTGTAACCTAACAAAATGTGGAAAAAGTCAAGGGGTCTGAATACTTTCCGAAGGCACTGTAAATGTCTGGATTACTTTAATTTCGGTGAATCTCTTATACAATGGTTGAAAGTTATGTACAGCAAACCCAGATGTGAAATAGTAAATAATGGTTACTTCTCAGAAAGTATTGCGCTTTTAAGAGGAGTAAAACAAGGCTGTCCGTTGTCTCCATATCTATTTGTTATGGCCATCGAAATGCTAGCTATTAAAATTAGATCCAAGAAGAACATCAAGGTGTTAGAAATCCAGGGGATAAAAACTAAAGTGTCAATGTATGCCGATGACTCAAGTTTTTTCTTATGTCCACATCACTTTTTTGCCTCTCTGGACTAAAACCTAATTATGACAAGTGTCCCATAATATGTATTGGATCGTTAAAAGACACAGTGTTTACCTTGTAGTTTACCAATAAAATGGGCGGATGGTGAGGTAGACATACTTGGTATTCATATCTAAAAAAATGTAAATAACTTACCACAATCAATTTCAATAGAAAGTTCGCAAAAATAGATAAGATTCTGCAACCATAGAGAGGGGAATACTTGTCTATTTATGGAAAAATCACATTGATTAACTCTTTGGTCCTACCACAGTTTACTTACTAATGGTGATGCCTACTCCAGACAACCCGTTTTTGAAATCATATGAGCAAAAAATATTTCATTTGATTTGGAATGCTAAGCCAGACAAAATTAAACGTGCCTATTTATATAATGAATATGAGTTTGGGGGGCTAGAATTATTAAATATTAAAGCTTTACACCTATCACTAAAAGCTTCACTCATACATAAGTTATACTTAAACCCAAAATGATTCTCCAGTAGATTATTAAGAAAGGCTCATCCTTTGTTCAAAAATTGTATTTTTGCATTTATACAGATTACAACTTCTCATTTCCAACTAATTGAAAATGAAATGTTGTTTAAAGTATCGCCCTTTCTCAAACAAGCCATACAAAGCTGGTTACAATTTTAGTTTTATCCTCCAGAAAAGATAGAACAAATATTACAACAAATATTATGGTTAAACTCAAATATACTGATTCATCTCTACGGGATCGGTGTCCCTTATACGGGACGGTTGTTGCTCAATATGTGATATTTGACTAGAATGGTGTTGTAAACAACAGCCAACTTTCCGGGACATAGCTATGTCTTATATGGGCAGAAAGCTTAAATTCTTGTTAATCTAACTGTAGTGTCCAATTTACAGTAGCTATTACAGCTAAAAAAAATACCATGCTATTGTTTGAGGATAGTGCATAACAACAAAACACTTTTATCACGGCAACTGGTTTGGTACATTCACCTCTGAAGGTAAATAATGTACTTACATTCCAAAATCTTGCTCTGATTTGTCATCCTGAGGGTCCCAGAGATGAAAAGTAGTGTAGTTTTGTTTGAAAAATCAATTTTTATATTCAGATGTAGGAACTGGGTTCTACAGTTTGACCTCTGACTCCACACCCACCCGGCCATCTAGATGTGTGAAGGTTAGTGTATTTTCTGTAGGGAAGCTAATGATCCATCATTTATGACATTCCTGGGAGTGTGCAAACTTAAATGTTGTATTACCATAGCATTTTTGGATGTTCTCTATAGTTATGTACTTGAAAACCAATTTGGCACATTTGGGAAAACTCCTGGCAGACTTGATACAAAATATTGTGTAGTGATGTAATTCTTCACTGGATCAGTCTGAAACTTTGCACACACACTGCTGCCATCTAGTGGACAACATCTAAATTACATATATAATGCTACATCACAGTATGGCCTTTCCCTTGCATTTCAAAGATTATGCAACAAAACATAAATAGAAAACACGTTTTTGTGTTTGTATGATCTTTTACCAGATCTAATGTGTTATATAATCGTACATTAATTTCACATTTCCACAAACTTCAAAATGTTTGTTTTCAAACGATATCAAGAATATGCATATCATATGCATATCCTTGCTTCAGGTCCTGAGCTACAGGCAGTTAGATTTGGGTATGTCATTTTAGGTGAAAATTGATAAAAAAGGGTCCGTCCTGAAGAGGTTCATAAAAAACCATTCTTTATGGATTTCTTTTTATTTTATGTTATTATGTTTATTAATGATATTATGAATAGAAACAGTGGAGTTATGTCACATATGCAGCAATCAAAAATATAATGTATGGGAATGTCTGCTCAATCCAAACTTATAACCAACTGATTGGAGCATTACCACAAAAATGGAGGAGGCAAATGGAAGAGGGAGAAGGTAGGGAACTTGTTTGTCTGCCATTTATTAAAGATACAAATTGGCTGAAAATAAATGGCATAAATGGAGAAATATACCAGTTTCATTTGAAGACAGAAATGTTGACATCTGTGCCATACAGGTTGCAAAGTAAATGGGAAGAGATTTTCGATGTACTGATTCCATGGCACATGGTTTATGAACAGATACAAAAAACAACACTTTATTCAACACTTCAAGTTTTTCAATTTAAATTATTATACTATGTAGCTTGTTTCTGGTCACAGGTTCAGGAATGGTTAAAAAATCACAACATTCACATAAAATGAACCTTACAAATAGCAGTTTTGGGCGATTTAGAAAGCCATAGTGTCAATAAATAATATAATAATACTCGTAGGAAAAGTTTTCATCTTTAGCTCACAATCTGTGGATACTATACAATTAGAAAGGTTAAACATTTATGTAAAACATCACAGCACCAATGAAAAATATATGGCACATGGAAACCAAACAAGGGTGATTTATGGTGATAGGTGGGATGGGCTTAGAGTGGCTGAGGGGTGGGAGTTTATGTTCGGTAATGTATTATTGTTATGTGATTGCTGTATATAAAAGCAACATGTACAGTATGTAAAATGTGTATGCAAAATGTGTATGTAAAATATATGTATATGTAGCAGAAAAGCTGTAAAAAAACAAAAAAGACGTGTCCTCCGAAGAGGTGGGATGGTGGATGGGTTAATAAGAAAAAAGATAAACAAGAAAAAAGAAAAAAGAAACACCACCTCAGGTTATTAATAAAGATGTTGTTGTATTGGAAGACTTGCCTGTGTGTGTTTGTGTTGATTCACTCCTGTTTGTTTTTGTGTTTCCCTGATGTATGATGATCGATCTTTCAGTATACATAACTGGTTCTCTCTCTCTCTCTCTCTCTCTCTCTCTCTCTCTCTCTCTCTCTCTCTCTCTCTCTCTCTCTCTCTCTCTCTCTCTCTCTCTCTCTCTCTCTATCTCTCATCCATATCTCTCTCTCTCATCCATATCTCTCTCTCTGCAGGTTGCAGCTCTCTCCTGAACCCGTTCAGTTGTTGCTCTACCACTCCTCTGTGTAACACTACGGGAGGCTGTGCCCTGGGACAGTACTGGTGCCACCTGTTGGAGGCCTGTGTCCCTGTCACCAGCCCCTGCAGTCCCTACAACCAGTCCCCCTCTACAGGGGAGCGCAGCTACCCCCTGCCACCCAGATACCCTGACATACCCCCCTTCTACCACCTGGTGGCAGACTTGCCCATGAGAGTGGCTCCTTGCTCAGAGCCTGCTCATATTAGTGTATGTGTGTGAGATGTTGTTATTTACAGAGGGTTTCTTATTTACTTATTTACAGTTCTTATTTACATGCTTTATGCTTTGGATAAGTCGAATCAATAAAATTCTCTCTCTGTCAGATCCTGCCAGAGAGGGAGATCAGTGTTTACCCCGATGACATTCTGTCCGTCCAACACACCGGGAGACCTGGAACCTTCCTGAGTTGCCGCGACAATGCCTCCTCATCCTCCTCCCCCTGGCGACAGAGCTACCTCTCCCTGCAAGGGGCGGAGTGGGGGGGCTGGTGGGAGGGGGGCCTCTCGTCCCCGCCAAATGGAGGACAGTGGGTGGACGGGGTTGTGTGCGACCTACGGGTGCTGTACGTGGACACACTGCACGGGCATGGCTATATTTCAAGTACGGGCCAGAGTGAACTTAGTGGCTTCACTCATATCGGGAGCATCAGTACGCCCATAAGTATGACCCCTGAAACCTCAGCTCCTGCCCCAGCAAAAAGTCACATTTCTGGGCTTTGTATGATCCATCCCCTGCCTGATGGAGACAACCAGATCCATATATTGGTTGACACTCCTGTACTCATTGTGATTAAAATATTATCTGGAAAAGGGGCCACCAGCTCCTGGTTGGCTCCAGTGCTCCAGAGAGGGGTCCCTTTCCTCCCGTCCTGCCCAGGAGGGTTACCTGACTCTTGGCCTGGTTGTGAGAGAGACTCCCCTGACAGCTGGTTCTCCCACATGTCCCTGGTGCTACCCTCATTGGGTGTCCACACTCTAAACGTCAGTGCTGTGAATGGAGTGAGTGAACAGAGTACCTGTGTACAGGTGTGTGTCTATGAGCCGGTGGCTGGGCTCAGTGTAGAGCCACATGGACACCTGAGGATGCTGGTGGACTTGTCACAGGTGAGTTAGCCCGACTTCATCGATAATATAAAGTTGTATTGTATTTTATAGTATTTATCCAAAAATCTGTGTTTTCTTTATGCATGTTTGAAAATAATATGCTTTTCTTTTATTTATTTGTTCTGCTGATCACATCTCTGCTACTGTATTGAACTTATACATTGTCACCATTCTCTGTTTTTTCTAAGACATTTACAGTCACGGCGGAGACTGGTTCCTCAGTAAAGTACACCTGGGTGATTGACGAGCTAGAGAAGTTTCCCTATGAGGGAGACACCTATAGTGTGATGTTCAAGAAGCCAGCTGAGTACAAACTGAAGGTACTAAGCTCATCAATTTCATATGATTTATCTTAAGATAAAACAACCTTGTTTTTAATATAATACCCATATAACAGAGTAAAGTGGCCCATAGAGTCTCACTAATAACTTGTCTCTGTTCCTCCAGGTGACTGCAGCCAATGCTGTGAGCTCCCAGACCCTAGTGGTCACTCTGACTGCTGACACCATGACCCCTCTGGCCGACCCAGAATTCCTCTCTGTCAAGGAGGTCATCGCTGTGGCCGCGCTGCGTCTCTACACTTTCAGAGTCAAAGTTGATGTCTCCCTAGGTGTCACTTTCAGGTTAGGGTCATTTTCTGTTTTCACAGAAGTATTTGCTTGGAGTGATATTATATCAATGAGGGTAGCATATCTGTTTCCTTCATATTTTCTCATTAACTACCATCCCATTACTCATTAACTACCATCCCATTACTCATTAACTGCTGCTGGAAGTGGTGTTGGAGGTCCCGTACGGGGCACTCTTCCCTCTGGTCTAAGGAGATCCCATTGCCCCAGGGCAGTGAAGAAGAGATTGCTCTACATAGGGTGCCATCTTTCAGATGGGATGTTAAAAAACCCTAAGATATTGAATATTATTTCCTGTAGGTGGTCTTTTGGGGATGGCAGTGCCCAGGAGAACCACACCTTTCCTGCCCCGTTTGAATCCCAGGACAGGCCAGTGGAGCGAGGAGTGAGACAGGTGTATGTGCAAGACTCTGTGAGCCACGTCTACCTACAGCCAGGTAAACATACCTCTACCAATCTGTAAATTATTGTAATTCATTCTAATAGTATAGATGCTTGCATATCACTCCTCTTTCCATTCAATACAATAGGGCATGTCTCCATTAATCTACAGTGCCTTTGGAAAGTATTCAGACCCCTTGACTTTTTCCACCTTTTGGTAGGTTACAACCTTATTCTAAAATTGGTTAAATTGTTTTTTTCCCTCATCAATCTACAGACAATACCCCATAATGACAAAGCAAAAACTTTTTTTAGACTTTTTTACTAATTTATAAATAATTATACATTTAAATGAGACCCTTTACTCAGTACTTTGTTGAAGCACCTTTGGCAGCAATTACAGCCTTGAGCCTTCTTGGGTATGACGATACAAGCTTGGCACAGCTGTATTTGGGGAGTTTCTCCCATTCTTCTCTGCAGATCCTCTCAAGCTCTGTCAGGTTGGATGGGGAGCGTTGCTGCACAGTTATTTTCAGGTCTCTCCAGAGATGCTCGATCGGGTTCAAGTCCGGGCTCAGAGACTTGTCCCGAAGCCACTCCTGCGTTGTCTTGGCTGTGTGCTTAGGGTCTCTGTCCTGTTGGAAGATTAACCTTCGCCCCAATCTGAGGTCCTGAGTGCTCTGGAACAGGTTTTCATCAGGGATCTCTCTGTACTTTGCTCTGTTCATCTTTCCCTCAATTCCTGACTAGTCTCCCAGTCCCTGCCGCTGAAAAACATCCCCACAGCATGATGCTGCCGCCACCATGCTTCACCAGCATTCATGCCAAAGAATTCAATCTTGGTTTCATCAGACCAGATCATCTTGTTTCTCATGGTCTGAGAGTCTTTAGGTGCCTTTTGGCAAACTCCAAGCTGGCTGTCATGTACTTTTTACTGAGGAGTGGCTTCCGTCTGGCCACTTTACCATAAAGGCCTAATTGATGGAGTGCTGCAGAGATGGTTGTCCTTCTGGAAGGTTCTCCCATCTCCACAGAGGAACTCTAGAGCTCTGTCAGAGTGACCATGGGGTTCTTGGTCACCTCCCTGACCAAGGTCCTTCTCCCCCGATTGCTCAGTTTGGCTGGGTGGCCAGCTCTAGGAAGAGTCTCTGTGGTTCCAAACTTCTTTAATTTAAGAATGATTGAGGCCATTGTGTTCTTGGGGACCTTCAATGCTGCAGAAATGTTTTAGTACCCTTCCCCAGATCTGTGCCTCGACACAATCCTGTCTCGGAGCTCTACGGCCAATTCCTTCAACCTTCCTTCAACCTTCAAGCTTGGTTTTTGCTCTGACATGCACTGTCAACTGCGGGACCTTATATAGACAGGTGTGTGCCTTTCCAAATCATGTCCAATCAATTGAATTTACCACAGGTTGACTCCAATCAAGGTGTAGAAACATCTCAAGGATGATCAATGGAAACAGGATGCACCTGAGCTCAATTTCGAGTGTCATAGCAAAGATTCTGAATACGTATGTAAATACACTGACATTTGCAAAAATGACTAAAAACCTGTTTTTGCTTTGTCATTATGGGGTATTGTGTGTAGATTACTGAGGAAATTGTTTTATTTAATCCATTTTAGAATAAGGTTGTAACTTAACAAAATGTGGAAAAAGTCAAGGGGTCTGAATACTTTCCGAAGACACTGTATATCACTCTGTCTCTCACTCATGCAGATGACTACACACTGACTGTACAGGTCTACAACCAATACGACAACATCAAGCGGGCAATATCAGTGAAGGTACGGCCTCCATTGACTCGTATACTCATCTTTCCATCTCCTCCGGTTCCCCTGGTCAACCAGACCTTTCTTCTAGAAGCCTCTTCACACCCATCTCACTACGGAATCCTCTACACTTGGAACTTTGGGGACGGTTCAAAACAAGTCCAAGGATTCCATGGCAAAGTTAGCCATGTTGCTCGGACCACTGGGGTTTATAACATGACTGTGTGCGCTAACAACACCTTGACTGCACTGACAGCCTGGGTGGCCGTGGCAGTGGTGGAGAAGGTGTCTGGACTCCAGTTGAGCTGTAGTGGACCCAGTGAACTGAAGTCTGTGACTGAAATCAAGGGCAAAGTGGCTTCAGGTTCCAGTCTTCACTGGGACTGGAACTTTGGTGACGGGTCTGGACATAAAAACATCACAGACAACTCTGTATCCCATGTCTACGAGTCCCCAGGGAGTTACACAGTCAGAGTGACTGTGTCTAACGCATTCAGCCAGGCTAGCCAGTCCATCAGTCTGGAAATCTACAGGTTGACCATCAGTGGAATTCTGCCATCGGAGTGTTCGGAGACAGAGAAAGAGATACAGCTCCAAGCACTGGTGAACGGGAATGTTTCCATGCTGACTTTCCATTGGAATTTCGGGGATGAATCACCTTTGTCAGTACAGAAGGGAAAGTCTGTTGTTACTCACACTTATTCAAACCCTGGGATTTATAATGTTAACGTTACTGTTCTCAGTATAGTAGGATCTGTCTTTTATGATGCCAACGTTTGCATTGAGGCCCCCATTACTGGGATAACCATCTGCCCATCACAGGATGCTGTGGCAGTAGGAGAAGAGGTGTGTTTTAATGCAGTTGCTGACCCAAAAAGACAACCCACTGGATATCAGTTCCTGTGGTTCAATCATTCCTCTAACAGCTCTCCTATAAGAGGACTGGCTCGTCATTGCTTTGTGTATAAGGAGGAAGGGATCCATGATGTTTCAGTGATGGCAAGTAACAAAGTCAGCCAGAGAATAGCCCAAGCCACTGTTGCTGTGCAGAAGCCTGTGAGTAAACTATCCATAGCACATAGTAGTCAAAGCAACACACTGACTGTCAATGAGAAGATTACACTTTGGGTGAAGAGCTGCACTGGGACCAATGTTTCTGTGCAGTGGGACTTTGGTGACGGCTCACCACTGGCAAAGAGTCAAAATGTCTCCCATGTCTTCACTTCCGCAGGCAGGTTTACAGTCAAGGCCACAGCTTCTAATGCAGTTAGCCGGGATTCTGTTAACCTGGAAGTGAACGTACTGCTTCCTGTGTCAGAGCTGACACTGAAAATCAGCCAGCCATTTGCAGTAGTAGGGGAAGAGACTGTCATAACAGCAGTTGGCAATGTTGCAGGTAATGTCAATTTCTACTGGTCAGTGGATGGCCCTGCTACCCCTGAGCTTGGGATGTCTCACTTTCAGTATGTGTTCCCTAAAGCAGGTGTGTATCAGGTCAAAGTCACAGCCCAGAACCTGGTGAGCCAACAGGAGGCAGCCATTTTGATTGTAGTTTTAGAGAGAATACAGGGGCTTCAGATCTCAAGTCAGAGCCTGACTTCCATGAGTTACATACCAACCAGAGAGAGTGTCTTGCTCACTGCGTCAGTAACACACGGCTCCAATGTCACTTACCATTGGCTAGCCAACCAGAGAGGTGTGACCCAAACTGCCAGTGTTGGTGAGCACTTTCCGTGGTTCACTGAAACTCCAGGTAATATATCTGTTGAGTTGACAGCTTCCAACGGACTTGGTAAGACAACCAGCTGTGTTTCTCTAAAGGCAGTGGAGCGAGTTTCAGGGGCTAGAATGTCAACAGCTAGAGACACTGTACCACTAGGGAAGTATATCAATATCTCTGTAACTGTGGAGACCGGATCTGACCTCCAGTATCTCTGGAATGTGAGCTCAGACCTTTCACCCTTACAGAACAATGTTCCTTTTCTTCTTTACGTGTTTGAGACTCTGGGTTCTTGTTCTGTCAGTGTGTCAGTCCAGAATGTTCTCGGTTCAAGCAACACATCCAAACATTTCACAGTTCAGGAGGAGGTTAGAGAGGCAGACTTTCAGATAGGTGGCAAGACACATCCGTTCTTTATAACGTCAAATACTCAAGTTGCACTCTATGGATATGTCCATAAAGGGAATGATCAGCACTGGGGGTGGAAAGTTGTTGGGTGTACTGGAGGTGCTGTGGTTTTGAACAACAGTCAGTCAGTTATCTACACCTTTACAGATGTAGGGGTCTATAAAGTCTCTCTGAATGTCTCTAATGGTATTAGCTGGCAGACAGTTTCACACAGAGTCACCATCCAGGACACTATTCAGGGCTTGACTCTAAACCTTAGCAGGTCTACAGTCTGCGCTGAAGATCATATTGCTTTTACACCAGTCGTTTCCAAAGGAACCAATGTCAGCTTCTCTTTAGACTTTGACGAAGTTGAGTCATCAAATGACCTTGTTGAGGTAAGCTTCACCACCTCCACCCTCCCAGTTGGGTCTCACTCTGTCACAGCCCGAGCCTGGAACCAGGTGAGCAACTCCCAGGTGTCATTGACCGTCCAGGTGGTAGAGAGGATCGGGGGCCTACGATTGGTCAACTGCTGTTCCACTGCTCTTGAAGCTCTAAAGGAGATCCCTTTCCAAGCAAATGTCATGAGTGGTTCTCCAACCGATTACATCTGGACGATCCAATTAGAAGGGCTTCAGCCCTTACAGGTAATTGGACAGGAAGTGATGTATACCTCACCCGGAAGTGGTTCGTTGTTTGTGGGTGTGATGGCCAGCAATGGCTTCTGCTCTGAAACCCTGAATGAGACAGCCATTGTTCAGTTGCCCGTGAGGGAGGTCAAGATTGTTTGTGATTCTACAGCAACCTTTAGAGGCTATAGTGTCAGATTCTCAGTCACAGTAGATGGTGGAAGCAATTTGAGGTTTCAATGGGTCTTTGAAGACTCAAGTGAAGGAGTTGTCATCACAAAATCCAGTACAGTGAACCACACATATCTCACTGCTGGAAAATATATTGTTAAAGTCACAGCTTTCAATAATGTCAGCCAGGTCTCCACACAACTGCTCACTGAGGTGAGAGAACTCCAGTGCTCCCTCCCTCAAGTCACTTTAGTCCAGGGCCAATCCACAATCCTCAAGTCTAGATCCAGCTACTTTGAAGCAAGCGTAGACATCAAAGGCTGCACCGCATACAAGACCATGTACCTATGGGAAGTGTTTAGGGGGAGTGGCTGTGGAGCTGACAAGACTGACAGCAATCTGGTAACCCAAAGCAGTGGACATCCAGTAACCCTGATTAACCTGGGGATTGTGACTACGCCACTATTGTCCCTCCCTAAGCAGGCCCTGGAGGTGGGCCAGTACTGCCTGGGGTTCACTGTCTCTCTCCAGGGAACCCCTCTACATCTGCACAGGACGTCCAGGCTCTCTGTGGTTCACAGCTCCCTGGTACCCATCATCAGGGGGGGATCGCATAGACTGGTGCCCAGCCACAGTGACCTGATCCTGGATGGGTCAGAGTCCCATGATCCTGATGTGGATCTGGGAGAGGAAGGGGAGCTGAAGTACCACTGGGATTTCATCACTGAGGTAATTGAAATCATTGCCTTTCTACTATTTAGGTAGAAATTGTTCACTTACATTTCTGTTAACTTATATTGCTGTCTTACCTTGATGTTTTCTCAAAATTGTACCAATGGTATCTGTTTCTGCCTGAAGAACTCTACTGAGTGGTTGTCCCAGGACCAGGGCCAGCTTTTAGGGTATAACAGCAGCAGGTTGACTGTCCCCAGCAGGAAGCTACAGCCAGACAGGGTCTACCTCTTCACCCTCACTGTCCAAAAGGAAGGGAGGAGACCTATCTCCACTACACAGTCTGTGAGTCTCACATTATCTCTACACACCACAATATCTTTATGCAACGAAGGTGGTTCAGCGAACCATGCACTGTAAATGGGTTGCCGTGAATTTGACAGTAACTTACAGGCAGCTAGTGGTAAGTAAGTTGCTGTATTTCATATTGCAGTACAATTACTGTAATCTAAATACAGTATCAAAGCAAGTATTGTATAATGACACACAGTAAAATACCATAGAATTGACGGTATTATACTGTAAAAAAGTAAATGCTACTGTTCGTAATGAATGAATGGATGGATGGATTAATTAATTAAATTAATTGAGGGGAGATGGTGTTTGTATTTTACAGGATTTTACTGTAATTACATGAGATTGGTGCAAGCAGGTTGGCTGCTAGGTAATGTTTTACACATTACAGCATATCAATTAATAATTTGTATTTTATATCACTTGCACTTGTAGAGGCCTTAATGGTCCAATGCAGCCATTTTTATCTCAATATCAAATAATTTCTGGGTGACAATTAATTACCCTACTGTGATTGTTTAAAATTAAAATGGTAAGAAATACACAAAAATAGAAAAATAGCTTCTTAGCAAAGAGCAATTTTTCTAGCAAGAATTTTGCTGGGACTGGTCTGAGTGGGAGGGGAAAACTGAAAACTAGCCTTTATTGGCAGAGAGGTTTGGAACACTCTTTCTTATTGGTCTATTAACTGATTTACCACCTGGTGATGTCATCCCACAAAAACAGGCAGAAATTTCAGCCGGTCCTTTCAAACAGCTCTTACACTACAAGGGCTTTGTTATAATTTTCACAATTTCACAGTATTATTCCAAACTCATAGTGTGGAAATATATATAAAACACAGGAAAAACACATTTTTGACTGCACTGGGCCTTTAACAAAGGCTTCCAAACTGGAAGTGACTACAGGGCAAAACAGACAAATGCGCAACCATTACAAGTTTAAGACTTGCTGCCTCTCCAATCTGTCCGCTATACATTTTTAATTGATGGGGCACTACTACCACATACCAGTTAAACTGGTACAGCATTCTCACTAATGGGTGCAACAAATATAGCCTCTTACAAGGCACGCCTCAAAGTATGTTAATGAGCCAGAAATAACAATACCATGCACCCACTAGTGGTCAAAAGGTTTTTGGCACTCGAAAAATGCGGTACGGTACTGTATTCTGTGGGATGGAATTACAGTACCATTCGAAATACAGCAATTCTTTCCCCATCCACATAATTTCCCCACAATGCACCATCATTTACAGTATGCAGCAGTAAAACGTTTCACAGTATTTTACTGTTGATAATATCCAAAATTACCATATAAAGTTTTCAGTTTCAGTGTGGTTGTGGGATGTTTATTTGATAGTATATTCATGTCAAATACTCCTCCATGCCTCTAGGTGGCGGTATCTAAAGTTGCAGTGCTTCCTGTAAGTGTGGAGTGTGTTTCCTGCAGTACTCTCTCTTCTTTCCGTGTCAGCCAGAGTCGCCCCATTGTGCTCTCTGGTTGTTGTGATAAGTGTGGCAGCCATGTTCAGGTAAGTTCTCCTCTACGTAGCTAATTGGCTGACCTAAACAACATTTACAGTTTGTGACAAAATTAAATAAAGTCAGCATAAAGCAGCTGTCATGGCTGCTTTATGCTGGACTTATGACGGAAAGTTGATGTATGGTCTTTCTGTTTTCAAAGTACAAATGGAGCGTAGAGGATCAGAACGGTGTGACCCTTGACCTGAACGAGGTCACCACTACGGGCAGTCTCTCTCCTGACCTGGTGGTCCGACCGGAGGTGCTGCAGGAGGGGTATAACTATACCTTCACCCTAAATGTTACCCACCCTGCTGGGGGAAGATGGGGGTGTGCTAGCCTGACCCTCCTGCCCAACCCTCCACCCCATGGAGGGGTGTGCACTCTTACCCCAGGTCCTGGGGAGAAAATACGCCTGCTGGAGACTGTGGTCACATACAACTGCTCAGGTAATACAGTAGAAACAAAGACTCAAATATTCAATCAAATCTTATTTTGGTGTCTTTGCCATGTTTTACCATGGTGTACCAGATGTCCTGTATTTACTCTATAGGTTGGCTGGATGAGGATAGTGAGTCCCCCCAGCTTATCTATATTCTACAGGTGGCATCATCATGCCCAGGCTGGGGCAAAGCATGTCCCCTTCTCACCCTCTACAGGGGTACCCAGCGTACATTTGGCAGCCTAGTTCCTCTGGGGGAGGCGGGGCCAGAGAAGGACCTGTCAATCATCTCTGTGATCCTGCAGGTAGAGGACCACCTGGGGTCAAAGGTCACCGCACTTAACAGGTGAGTTGGAGATTAGTTTAAAACTGAGAATGCAGGGAAGAGGTTCCGACCTCAAGAGACCTCTTGAGGTAAATTGTCAAAAGACAATTTATGGATGCTTTTGTTTTTTCAGAACTATAACAGTGCTGAGACCTGTGGATGGAGATGGGATCACAGAGTGGCTGAGGAACAAGAGTCAAACCGAACTATGGGGTTTACTCCAACAGGGTAACCCACAGCAGCTCATTCCCTATTCCATTGCCCTCACCAGCCAGCTCAACCAGGTATGAACCTTACCTTTGTCTTTACCTGGCTGTGTCTCTCTTCTCCTTAATGTTATCTTTCCTTTACATGTCTATCTCTCTCCTCTCGGTCACAGGTGGATCAGACTTTGAGTGAGCAGGATCTCAGGGACAGGAGGGAGATCAGGGGGAATGTGACACAGGTGCTGGCCTCTTTGTCTGTGTCCTCTCTACAGGATGCAGCCCAGATCAGCTTTGCCCTGGCCCAGTCCACTGTAAGTAACCTGTCCGTAGTTTACACAGACAGAGTTTGTGCCATAAAAGCCTGGCAAAAAGACCCACAAATGATACAGATTTGTCCTCGATGTCTGAATGCCACTGTGCGTTGTCTCCTGCAGGCAGTCCCAAGTGAGGTGGTGTGTGAGGGCTGTCAGGAGAATGTTCTAGAATCTGTGGGGAGAATGATCAGGGTTATGGAAGAGCAGACGGGACTAGGAGACGACACAGCCATAGACACAGGCAGGAACATCCTCCATGTAATAGGTACTGTACTAGTTTCTGAGTGGAATTGACAGTTGGAAATACAAGGATAAAAGGTGGAGGATACATGCTCATAGAGCAAGGACAGGAACTAGTTCAAGATTTTTGACCAAAAACGGTTATTTCTCTCTCTGTCTCCAGGCAGTTCATTGGCTGCTGTGTCCGAGTCCAAGCTCATCTCCTCTGGTCCTCACACTCACTCTAACGTATCTGAAACTGCAGTGTCAGCCCTGGACCATGCCAGGGCTCTCATGCGTATTCTGATGCGCTCGCGGAAACGCGACGAGGAACCCCTCTCTCTCTCTGCTCCACAGATCAGTGCCGTTGGTTACCATGGAAACCCCTCGGAACTCCTCTGCACCACTGATCCCTCCGTCGACACCCGCCAATCAAACCAGTCCAACAAATCACAATTAAACCCTTCTTCTTCCTTCTTCAATGACAAGCCAGAGTCATACCCACCATACCCGCCCTGCCAGTTCCTCATTCCCCCCTCTCTCAGTGCCCAGCTCCAGCGTCAGGTCCGGGGGTCTGAGGTGGTACAGATTCTCCTGGGTTTGGAAGGGGGGTCTGAGTTCCTCTCTGCAGCCAACCCACCCATTTCTACTTCTCTGGCTGCCATGGAGTTCACCACGCCCCAGGGACAGCCCATACCCATTGCTAACCTGGACACTGACAGATCTATCAGGGTTACTTTGCCCAAAATATATACTGTAGGAAGGATCAGCACTGGGGATCGGGCTAGTGGTGGGAGTGGAAGTGGGTCTGGGGCTGGGGCTTGGTCTAAATCTAGTGGTATTGACAGAGACGAGGGAAGAGCCCCAATGGTTAACTTTACACTCCGAGCCAAAGGGTGGCTGAATTTTACAGTGAGGGCAGTGAAGAATATGGATCCCAATGCTGGACTGTACATCTCCTTAAACTTCAGCCTGCTTCCAGGAGCTTCTCTGGTGGGCTCAGGACATGTGAGAATCACAGTGGCCACCCAGCCAGGTCATCCTGCATCCCATGATTCCCTAGTCAGAGAGCTGACTCTCTCCCTCTCCACCCAGACAGCCATGGAGGACACCATCTTCCTCTCTCCTCTGTAAGTGTTCTGTATCTAGACAGTTATGTTTTCCAAAACCTTTTACAAGTGTTTACTTTTACACAGACAGAATGTTGTGAGGCCTGATTTTCTTCTATCCATGGCATATGATGATGACATCCCAGTAATTTACTAATACAGCTTGTTGTCTATTATTTCTCTACATCTCTAGACTTAACAGCACAGTACAATCTCTCTTTGTGAACCTGACATCCAGCCTGAGTGGAGCTCCAGTCCGGGCCTCAGTGTGTGTGTTCAGCTCTCTGTGTCAGTACTACAGCCTGAGGGAGAGGCGCTGGAGCACTGAGGGCCTCCGGCCACTGGAGGGCAGCACCCTCCACTCAGCACACTGCCTCACTCAGCACCTCACCATGTTCGGGGCCAGTCTGTTTGTCCACCCAGACGCTGTGGTGCTACTGCCACCGGTAAGTTTGGGATACTCCTCAGGGTAACACAATAAATGGTATAGCTCATTAGTACATACAGAGAAAATAAATGTTAGCAGCCTTCGATAGAAAAGTTAGAGGAACACAGAATTCTGAGACATGATCATACACTCAATATGGCCACCTGTTCACCCACCTTGGAACACAGCTTTGAATTGGAACCCCTTCTACTGATGCTACTAATTTTAATTATATGTCCCCGTCCATCTCCCCACCACAGTCCAGTGGTCCAATGCGTAATGTGGTTGTGGGGATTGTGTGTGCTGTCCTGGTTCTGATCCACTTCCTCCTGGGTCTGATCGCCCACAAACTGGACCACCTGGAGAGCCTGAGACTATGCCATGTACCACTGTGTGGCCGACCTGGACGCTACAGCTACAGAGTCCTGGTCAAAACAGGCTGGAGACGAGGAGCAGGTAAGGCTCGCAGATCTTAGACGACTGGGTAGGTGTAAGCAATAGATCCGCCCATTTTCTGCCATATTGCTCTGTCTCACCTATCCAGTCCTAACAGAAGTGAGAGGGAGTGAACGAGGGCAGAAGGGAGAGAACATCTTGCTGAAAGAGCATCTTGTTAAAGTGAAATGCAAACCTGGTTCACGTTTATTTGTATTTCCCATCAGGCACGACGGCCCATGTCGGCATCAGTCTGTACGGGGTGACTAAAAGCGGTTCACGCCACCTGCAACGGGAGGGGGCGTTCCAACGAAGTGGTCTGGACCTGTTCCACCTGGAGACGGACAGCAACCTGGGAGAGGTGTGGAAGATACACCTCTGGCATGACAACACAGGTAACCATGACAACACAGGTAACTACTGTAGTCTCACATTGCCATACTTCGTAGTCTCGTATTCACTCGCCTACTGGAACACGAGGAAAGCAGGAGATCGAGGCTCCAGGTAGTAAGGTTCCAAACAGGTAACACAACAATACCTATAAGTGTGTTTGTGTGCATGCGTGTGTGTGTCCCAGGTCTGGACCCGTCGTGGTACGTGCAGCATGTGGTGGTGTGGGACCCTCAGACAGACCACCTGTTCTACTTTCTGGTAGAAGACTGGCTGTCTGTGGAGAACGACAGGAACGAAGGAGGAGGGACAGTGGAGAAGGAGATGTTGGCCTCCTGTAAGTACTACAACTCTCTGTATATGTCTTTACAATCAGGGAGAGCAGAACTGCCTCCAAAACAGATTTCTCTCTCTCTCTCAGGTCCTGTGGAGCTGTCTAAGTTCCGACGTGTTCTCTCCTCCCAGCTGGCGTTTGGAATGCTGGAGCGCCACCTGTGGCTGTCTCTATGGGAACGCCCCGCCCTCAGCCGCTTCATGCGGGGGCAGAGGGTGACAGTGTGTGCCCTCCTGCTACACCTCTACCTCGCACTAGGGGCAGTGTGGTACGGGGCTGTGGGTACAGAGGGGCATAGGTGAGATGGCAGTCTAACCAGAACATTCCAGGTGACAATAGTGTACACAATAGAAGGTTCTTGTGAAATAGCTCAGGTGGGATTCAATCAAACTCGCACTGTGGATAACTTGCTGCGCTGAAGAACAATGTTGTTTTGCCTGAGACACTCTACAACTCTTTGTTACCTATCCCACATACTCTGCATTAACTCTGTTAAGTGAATGAATCAGCCATTTTATGGGTGCTGTGTTTCAGTGGACCGGTTTCGGCTCGGTTGCTTGTAACCTGGGAAACAGTTGCCGTGGGGATGACAATTGCCATCCTGGTGTTTCCTCTCCAGTGTCTCCTCTGCTTCCTGTTCCGAAAGACTCACAGCCAGGTACCTTTCCTACATCTCTCTCTCCTTCTCCATCCATATTTCCTGTTGCCCCGTCAACAAAAATAATCCTATACGCCTATTAAACCACATTGTTATCATTTCTATCTTTAAAAAGCTTAGTCGATCAGAGGTCAATGTGATAGTGTATTGTATATTTACTCTGTTGATTTGGCAGGCTTATCGTAATGTGGGAAGTGCTTGACTGAGATGGTGCTTGGGTCAGCTACAAATGTTGGGTTTCCCTTTCCCTGTGTGTGTTTCAGGTAGCGGTGGATATGTCAGTGCCTCCATCCCCTGTGTGTCAGTCAGTGGAGATGGACGTCTATCTCGGCCAATCAGATATGTCCTGCTCCTCCTTCCTATCTTTGCCTGGAGGACCTGATCCGTCAGGCCTGGATGGAGACACACCCTCTTCTGTAAGAGAGCAAACTCTCACATGTATCAATGCATGCACATACACAAATACACAGCTCTTTCTGATTCTCTTGTGAAAGTTGTAAACTGAAAAAGCTGAAAGCTATCTTTTACTTCTCTCTTAGCTGATGGGAAGCAAGGCATTCAACGCTGAGTTCTGGAATGCCACTAACCTGGGAGTGGAGAAGGATGAAGATGGCATGACACTGTGGTCATCCTGTGACAGCCTCACTGACCTCCCAGGGCCCTCCTGTGACAGCCTCACTGACCTCCCAGGGCCCTCCTGTGACAGCCTCACTGACCTCCCAGGGCCGTCCTGGGAAATAACCTCGGACCCCTTGGGGTCATCCCTGGGTCCTGCCCGTCTGCTGAAGAGGAAGAAAGCCCTGATGAAACTATGCCTAGCCTCACCCTCCTCGCCCCAATTTCTTGTCTGCAACTCCCCACCATCCCAATCCTTATCTGGCCTGCCTCCAGACCCCAGCCACAGCCACAGCCACAGTCACAATCTGCAACCCAATGTTCTTACCCTGTCTGGTGAGTGTGTGTCCCATATGTGTTAATATGACTCCTGTGTGAATACATCTAAAATGGTTCTGTTGTCTCTCATGGTGTTTCAGAGGAAGACCTGCTGAGGTCTATAGCAGCAGAGACAGGCAACAGTCCCTCAACATCAGACAGTGGCCGCTACTCCCCCAGGACGACCTCTCTGTCCCACACGTAAGACCTGCCTGACCAGTACACTCCAGACCTAAACCCCAGATAATACAGGCCCTGTCTACAGTATATGCCCCCAATGTATATTCCTCCTTCCCTCTTTCAGTGGAGAACAGAGTTGCTCTGACTGAACTCGATTGCAGAGAACAACCAGTCATAGTACTTTGTATAGCACTATTGCCTGTTGGGAAAGAATACTTCTGAGTCTTACTCATCTCTCTGTGTGTTTTAGCCAGAGCCAGGGCAGTTCCAGCAGTGTTTGGTCTGAGCTGAGTGTGGACAAACCACTCTATGGGACAGAGATCCACAACCCCCCCTGCTCTCCCACCTCTCTGTATGGGACGGGGCTGTTTAGGCCTTCCTCATCTCTCTCTGTCTCCTCCATCGCCAGTACCTTCCTCCCCAGTCCCTCCCCTGACTCCACAGACTCTACCACACGCATAGGTGAGTCATTAGCACTCACTAACCCAAACCTTTGTTCCGATTCCCTCTAAGAATAATGACCTGTCTTCCACTCTTTATACCAAATGTAATACTATGTGGGTGCGAGAGTTCCCCATTTAAAACTTTCTATGAATTATGTCTATTTTGCATGAAAATCCAATGAACTATCTGAATATTCATATCAAGCAACTTCATATTTGCAGACATCATAGAGCATAGTTTCTTCCATGTTTTCACCCCCCAGGTGTGGCCCGTGGCAAGCCCAGCTGGCTGCTCCCGCCCTGGGCACTGCGTGTAATTTACCCCCTGGTTGTGTTGTTGCTGGGGGCCTGCCTGGCTGTAGTAGGCCTCTATGGGAGTCACTTCTCTAGCTCAGTGGTCCTGATGTGGCTCATCTCAGCCCTGTCTGCCTTCCTCACCTCCGCTCTGCTGCTGGAGCCTCTCAAAGTAAGCAGATCGAGACATAGACACGGGGGGCTCAATAGTCAATGCAACAAATTGTCAGCAATGAATGCTTTCACCATGCCAGAGAGAGAGATACGCAACCATATGGCTTCTGTATTTCCTGTAGACCCATGTCATTGTTAAACGACAATTGCTGGCTTTTAATCTTTTCAGCCTAAGAGAGACAGGTATGCACCTTATAACCTTCACTATTAGTATTGGCTATTTAACCCTTGTATGTCCTCTCCTCAGGTGTGTGTGCAGGCGTTGTTCTATGCTGTGGTGTTAAGGCCTGTAGACCCTGAGGTGAATGATCGGCTGGGGCAGGAGACCGTCATTAAGAGGGAGGGGGGCAAGCAGAGGGGCAAGGTGCTCCCCCCTTGTGGGTTCGGCCTACTGCAAGCCAAGGAGGAGGCCAGGAAAGTGAGAGCGCTACGATCCCTCATGAAGGTAAAACAGGAAACAAAAAAACAACAACTCCCATAAATCCTTATAGTAACCTCTGGAATGAACATGTGTGGTGTACTGTTTATATTCCTAACCACCTAGTACTGGAATTGAAATAACATTATCTTAATTCTTTATCTTTTATGTCTTTATCTTCCCGTCTCCTCTCTTGTTCATTCTCTCTGTATACTCTCTCTCTCTCTCTCTTTCTCTTCTCTCTCCTCTCTTCTCCTCTCCTCTTCCCAGCACTGTGTGTGCCACATGTTGTTCCTGTTGGTGGTGTTGATGGTGAACTACCAGGACAGTGTTCAGGAGACCCAGGGAAGACTGCTACACTCTGCCGTCAAACACTCACTGACCACCAACCTCAACACCATCACTGGGTAAGGGCTGCGTGTGTCGTGTGTGTGCATGTGTGCGTGTACCCTGTACTGATATGTGTATTGGTGTGTGTTTGTAGGCTGTGTCCACATGTAACTCTCTGTGTTGGTTTCAGGTGGGAGGGGGCGTGGCTGTGGATGGACAACATCCTGGTGCCACACCTTCATCAGAACCCCGCCCTCCACCTGGTGGGGTTACCACGGATACGCTGTATACACACTCCAGACCATAATAAGGCCGTCTCTCTGGGGAACAGCAGTTTTACCACACGCCAGCTTCTCTCTGGCCTATACAGCACACACTGGACCACAGCACAGTGAGTCACAGACACAGACACACACACACCAGTCCACACAAATTATCCTACATGATTCTTTGTACTCTTTTCTTCTCTCAGGTTAAAGGCTGTGTCCATTGACTTCACCCAGTACCATAGAGAGACTAGTCTGTTTGTGTGTGTGTCGGTTCTGCTAGAGAAGACCCAGATACACACACTCATCTCCTCCCTCTCCATCCATCCTCTACTCATCCCCCCATCCTCCTCAGGACCAGACCTGCAGATTGCACTCATGGTAACATTTGATAAACAATTTGTTTATATGAAACAACACTATTATTCCCATTCATTTGGGATAGGAAATGCAAAAATGTAAGAACTTCAATAGGTTCCGTTCTGAGACACTCAGGTTTTGAAACCTTTCTACCCTCCCCTCCTTCCTCCCCCCCAGGTGCTTCTGCTCCTCTCTGCCCTCCTCTTTCTGGGGGTGGAGCTATGGGCCATGGCTACTGCCCAGTACGTGCGTCAGAGCTGGCGCTGGCTACAGCTCCTCCTCACCTCTTTGTCCCTGGCGACGGCCGCGCTGCGATTCTGCTTCCTGTCCCAGGCTGCTTCCTGTCTGTCCCAGCACCGCTCCATACCAGACTCCTTCACTGAGTTCCACAGTGCCGCCCTGCTGGCCAGGAGGTCCACACAGATATCAGCCATACTGCTCACTCTGCTGGTACTCAAGGTACTGGATAACTTAAAGATAGTTCCTAAATATTTATATTATTTGAATGGTTCCGAACTCAATGGGTAAGGAATCCACATTTTGTGCCACTACCATCAAAATGCTAAAATGTGTGTTTCAGATGGTGGGTACTCTGAGGTACGTGCGGAGGTGGGTGGTGTTTGGTCGAGTGCTTCAGCTGGCATGGAGAGAGATGGCTGCTGTGGCTCTACTAATGATCTTACTGCTGCTGCTCTTCTCTCACACTGGACACATGGTAGGATATGTAATATGCAGTGGTGGAAAAAGTACCCAATTGTCATACTTGAGTAAAAGTATAGATACCTTAATAAAAAGTTGCTAAAGTGAAAGTCACCCAGTAAAATAGTACTTGAGTAAAAGTGTTTGGTTATAAATGTACTTAAGTATCAAAAGTACCTGTAATTGCTAAAATATACTTAAGTATCAAAGGTAAAAGTAAAGGTATAAATCATTTCAAATTCCTCATATTAAGCAAACCAGACGGCACCATTTTCTTGTTTTTTTGAGTTGTCAGGGAAAATGTATGGAGTAAAAAGTTCAATATTTTCTTTAGGAATGTAGTGAAGTAAAAGTAGTCAAGAATATAAATAGTAAAGTATAGTACAGATACCCCAAAAAACTACTTAAGTAGTACTTTAAAGTACTTTTACTTAAGTACTTTACACCACTGGTAATATGTAACAAGGTTCTCCACAGGAATATGTGAGACACAGCTCACTCCATGGGAATATGTACTACCTATTCATGCATGTATGTTTGTGTCTCAGCTCTTCTCCGGGTCTGTGGATGGGTTTGTGTCTGTGCACCAGGCTGGTGTGTCTGTGCTGTCTGTGCTGCGTGGTCGCCTGGTCCTCCAGAGGCTCAGCAGGGCTCACCCTGTCCTCGGACCCCTCTATGCCCTCTCTCTGCTGGGGATGGAAGGTTGGCTGCTGGCCCGTCTCTCTGGAGCTGTTCTGCTCCGCACGTACAGGGTTGTGCAGGCTGAGATGTACAGGCCAGCCATGGAGCCCCATGACTATGAGATGGTGGAGTTCTTCATCAAAAGACTGAAGCTCTGGATGGGACTTATTAAGGCCAAGGAGGTATGGAGGAAATTAATTGATGAATTAATTTATGCATTTTATTCAACACAAATTGAAACTTCTGAAATCTCCCTCCCTTCTCTCCACAGTTCAGACACAGGGTGAAGTTTGAGGGCATGGTGGTGCCTCCCTCCAGATCATCCCAAGAATCATGTCTCTCCACCATCTCGTCCTCCCTCTCCTCCCCCCATCCCCTGTCCTCCGCCCTCTCCCTGGGTTCTGAGGACTCGGGTGTGTCCGCTCCGGGATTAGACGTTCAGCCCAACCTGGACCGCCTGCTTTCCTGCGTCAACAGTCTGCTCTCACGGTTTGACCACGTTAACCAGCTGACCGCAGACATTCACGGTCTGGAGACGCAGCTAGAGGAGGTGCAGAGCAGGAGGAGGAAGAGGGGGCCGCAGGGACTTGGAAGAGGAGAAGAGGGAAGAGAAGGTAGAGGAGTGGCGATGGGCAGTAGGAAAACTCTGCTACCCCCTCAATCTCGCATCTCCCTCCCTTCCTTTCCTCCTTCTTCTTTCAACCCCATTACCCTTCTCTCCTGCCCTCCCTCCACCAATCCCTCCTTCGCTCACGTTCACAGCTCCTACTCTGAGTCTGTCATTCTCCAACCTCACCCACACCCACCCAGAGACACTCACCTCTCCGAAGCAACCAAGCTCACACAAAGGAGCTCTGGCCTGGGCTTGGGCACTGGGCCTTCCGGGTGTCCTGGAGCCAGGCAGTTTCCTAGACGTCGAGCCTGGCACTCAGGGAGTTCTCACTCGGCTGATGCAGCTCAGAGGCCCCCCCAGGCCCCTGGTGGTGGTATTGGGGTCAACACGAAAGCCAGGCCCTGTAGTGAGGAGGGGGACAGGAGACGTGCCAGTGAGGGACTGCCTGTGAAGAGACGGGCCTGGATCTCAGAGGGGCCTGAGACAGACATAGTCTAAAACTGAGAGAGAGACTGAGACAGAGATTAAAGTGCCTATTACTGTGGGTATACAGTATCTAGTGTATGAACCTCTAAGGTTCCAGCTATGAAGTGTGTAGTACTACTTCGAGACAAGTTTTCCCACTGTTGTGTACCTCTTTACTAGTGCTTCTGCATTAGATATTCTACATACGTATGCTGAGGTTGTATACCTTGTACTTCTTGTGTATCTACTGTATAATAAATATTTAAATAGAGGATTATTTTGTCATCTCCAAGAACCGTGGAATATATTTTTCCTGCTGATCAATACCAGTAGTAACATTGGGTTTGGTGTTTAATGTCCTCTATATTTTCTATCTGTACCAAGTAGTGACATGCAGCATTAAATAATCACCAAGTTATTTGTTTACGTTGTGAATTTCCTCAAATGTCAAATCAAATCACATGTTATTTCTGTCTGTAATAAAGCCCTTTTGTGGGGAAAAACTCATTCTGATTGGCTGGGCCTAGCTCCCCAGTGGGTGGGCCTGGCTCCCAAGTGGGTGGGCCAATGCTCTCCCAGGCCCACCCATGGCTGCGCCCCTGCCCAGTCATGTGAAATCCATAGATTACGGCCTAATTAATTTATTTCAATTGAGTGATTTCCTTATATGAACTGTAACTCAGAAAAACCTTTGAAATAGTTGCATGTTGTGTTTATATTTTTGTTCAGTATATTACTTTCTAGCACGTCAAGCTAGCTTACAGAGTAATAACTATAGCCCCATCGATGTGGGTGGGGGCGTGCTCATCCCTCCATCTCCTGTAATTCACGATCAGCTCCTTTGTCTTACTGACGTTGAGGGAGAGGTTGTTGTCCTAGCACCACACTGCCAGGTCTCTGACCTCCCTATAGACTGCTTCATGGTCGTCGGTGATCAGTCCTACCACCGTCGTGTCATAAGCAAACTTGATGAGGGTGTAGGAGTCATGCGAGGCAATGCAGTCATTGGTGAACAGGGAGTACAGGAGGGGACTAAGCACAAACCCTTGAGGGGCCCCAGTGTTGATGGTCAGCATAGCGATGTGTTGTTGCCTACCTTCACCGCCTGGGGGGCGGCCTGTCAGGAAGTCCAGGATCCAGTTGTAGAGGGAGGTGTTCAGTCCCAGGGTCCTGAGCTTGGAGGGGACTATAGTGTTGCATGTTGAGCTGTAGTCAATGAACATCATTCTTACATTGGTATTCCTTTTGTCCATGTGGGTGAGGATAGTGTGGAGTGCAATAGAGATTGTGGATCTGTTGGGGTGGTATGTGAATTGGAGTGGGTTCAGGGTGTCTGGGATGATGGTGTTGATGTGAGCCATGGCCAGCCTTTCAAAGCATTTCATGGCTATAGATGTGAGTGCTACAGGGCGATAGTCATTTAGGCAGGTTACCTAGGCGTTATTGGGCACGGGACTATGGTGGTCTGCTTGAAACAAGTTGATATTACAGACTGGTTGAAAATGTCAGTGAAGACCAGGGTTCGATCCCGGGCTGTATCACAACCAGCTGTGATCGGGAGTCCCATTGGGCGGCGCACAATTGGCCCAGCGTCGTCCGGGTTAGGGGAGGGTTTGGCCGGAGTAGGCCATCATTGTAAATAAGAATTTGTTCTTAACTGACTTGCCTAGTTAAATAAAGGTTAAATAAATAAAAATTAAAGACACTTGCCAGCTGGTCAGCGAATGCTGTGAGTAGGCATCCTGGTATTTAATCTAGCCCCACGGCCTTGCAAATGTTAACCTGTTTCAAAGGTCTTACTCAGTCAGCTATGGAGAGTAAGATCACACAGTCATCCGGAACAGCTGGTGCTGTCATGCATGGCTCAGTGTTGCTTGCCTCGAAGCGAGCATACAAGGCATTTAGCTTGTCTGGTAGGCTCGCATAATGAAGTAGGCTATCGCTCTGTGTGCAATGGTGGCACTACAAGTGCATCATCCAGTATGTTACTCCTACTATTCTCCTATATTTCTATCACATAACAGTTTAGAAGGCAGTGAAAGAGTAGAATACCCAAAACTAAGTGAAAGATTTGAATACTCTCACACTGCCCCCTCAAACTCAACTCTGGACCTCGAAGCCAGTTCCACTGTGTTTTTTCATTGTTCCCCTCTAATCAGGGACTGACTTAGACCTGTGACACCAGGTGGGTGCAATTAATTATCAGGTAGAACAGAAAAACAGCAGGCTGCGGACCTCGTAGGGTAAGAGTTGAATACCCCTGGTATAGCCTATGCTCCCATGTAGTTTATTGCTACGGTGTGACCAGAAGTTCTTGGAACTTTGACCAGAAACTTGCTGGAACTGAGCTGCTTGCCTAACCAGACGTTGTCCTCCCCACAGGGTGCCGCTGATCAAGGGGAAGAGTGCCCGGGAGAGCCAGAAGGAGCAGGGTCTGTGGGATGAGTACAGGGAGAAGTACCCCTCGAACCCCACCTCCAGGTTTGACGACCAGAGCCTCTAAGTCTCCGGCGAGCCCATGACCAACGACACTGATGTAAGCATGAGGATGGATGGCATTTGTAGAACGCTTTCTACTCTGTAAGACAGCAGAGAAGGCTGAAGCATGTCTGTTGGCCTCTTCTGCCTAAATTAATTAGATTTGTCAGAATGAATTATTGAACCACAGACAAGATCTTTAGTTTGAAATCAACAATTTGATTGCTGATTACCTATAGGTACTTTGGTCTTATTCTGGTAAGTCTTATGATGCCATAGGGTAGGGGAAGGTACACTACCATTCGGGGATGTAGCTCAGTTGGTAGAGCATGGCGTTTGCAACGCCAGGGTTGTGGGTTCGCTTCCCACGGGGGGGTATAAAAAATAATGTATGCACTAACTGTAAGTCGCTCTGGATAAGAGCATCTGCTAAATGACTAAAAATGTAAATGTAAATTCAAAAGTTTAGGGTCACTTAGAAATGTCCTTGTTTTCCATGAAAACATACATGAAATGAGTTTGAATAGGAAATATAGCAAAATGAATAAGAAATGTAGTTGTAATAATTGTGACCTTCAAACTTTGCTTCCGTCAAAGAATCCTCCGTTTGCAGCGATTACAGCCTTGCAGACCTTTGGCATTCTAGTAGTCAATTTGTTAAGGTAATCTGAAGAGATTTCACCCCATGCTTCCTGAAGCACCTCCCACAAGTTGGATTGGCTTGATGGGCACTTCTTAAGTACCATACGGTCAAGCTGCTCCCACAACAGCTCAATAGGATTGAGATCCGGTGACTGTGCTGGCCACTCCATTATAGACAGAATACCAGCTGGCCGCTTCTTCCCTAAATAGTTCTTGCATAGTTTGGAGCTGTGCTTTGGGTCATTGTCCCGTTGTAGGAGGAAATTGGCTCCAATCAAGCGCCGTCCACTGGGTATGGCATGGCGTTGCAAAATGGAGTGATAGCCTTCCTTCTTTAAGATCCCTATTACCCTGTAGAAATCTCCCACTTTACCACCACCAAAGCACCCCCAGACCATCACATTGCCTCCACCATGCTTGACAGATGGCATCAAAGCATTTTTTACATTTACATTTTAGTCACTTAGCAGACGCTCTTATCCAGAGCAACTTACAGTTAGTGAGTGCATACATTTTCATACTGGCCCCCCGTGGGAAACGAACCCACAACCCTGCCGTTGCAAGCGCCATGCTCTACCAACTGAGCTACAGGGGACAAGCACTCCTCCTGCATCTTTTCATTTGGTCTGCGTCTCACAAATGTTCTTCTTTGTGATCCGAACACCTCAAACTTCGATTTGTCTGTCCATAACACTTTTTTCCAATATTCCTCTGTCCAGTGTCTGTGTTCTTTTGCCCATCTTAATATATTTTTTTTATTGGCCAGTCTGAGATATGGCTTTTTCTTTGCAACTCTGCCTAGAAGGTCAGCATCCCAGAGTCGCCTCTTCACTGTTGATGTTGAGACTGGTGTTTTGCGGTTACTATTTAATGAAGCTGCCAGTTGAGGACCTGTGAGGCGTCTGTTTCTCAAGCTAGACACTAATGTATTTGTCCTCTTGCTCAGTTGTGCACGGGGGCCTCCCATTCCGCTTTCTATTCTGGTTAGAGCCAGTTTGCGCTGTTCTGTGAAGGGAGTAGTACACAGCGTTGTACGAGATCTTCAGTTTCTTGGCAATTTCTCGCATGGAATAGCCTTCATTTCTCAGAACAAGAATAGACTGACGAGTTTCAGAAGAAAGTTATTTGTTTCTGGCCATTTTGAGCCTGTAATCGAACCCACAATTGCTGATGCTCCAGATACTCAACTAGTTTTATTGCTTCTTTAATCAGCACAACAGTTTTCAGCTATGCTAACATAATTGCAAAAGGGTTTTCTAATGATCAATTAGCTCTCTAATGTTAAACATGTAAAGTGTGGTGTACCGGAGGGCAGTTCTCTTGGCCATCTACTCTTTTCTATTTATACCAATGACCTGCCACTGGCATTAAACAAAGCCTGTGTCCATGTATGCTAATGATTCAACCCTATACGTGTCAGCAACCACAGCTAGTGAAATCACTGCAATCCTAAACAAAGAGTTGCAGTCAATTACAATGGGTGGCCAGTAATAAACTGGTCCTGAACATCTCTAAAACTAAGAGCATTTTATTTGGTACAAATCATTCACTAATTTATAGACCTCAGCTGAATCTGGTAATGAATGGTGTGGTTGTTGAGCAAAATATATTGATTCAATGGTTGTAAAGATGGGGAGAGGTCTGTCCGTGATAAAGAGATGCTCTGCTTTTTTGGACACCACACTCCACAAAGCAAGTCCTGCATGCTTTAGTTTGATCTTATCTTGATTATTGTCCAGTCATATGGTCAAGTGATGCAAATAAGGACCTAGTTAAGCTGCAGCTGGCACAGAACAGAGCAGCCTGTTTTGCTCTTCATTGTAATCAGAGGGCTAATAATACTATGCATGCCAGTTTCTCTTGGCTAAGAGTTGAGGAAAGACTGACTGCATCACTTCTTGTTTTTATAAGAA